CTACTGGTCGTTGATTCGTCCATTTCGATCACGTGATCCTTTTTGTCGTTCAAACGATCGATTTCAGCGGCTCGTGAAAATGTACCTTTACTGCTTAAGTTTTTTTATGTGCCACGGCCCTAAAGGGCAGTCTACAATGGCACCCAGTTAGCCAAGTCTGTTCTAACAGATTTTGGCAAGGCCTGCTACAAATTATTGTCAGCAAAAAGGCTACGAATTGGGTACAAAAGTTGTTATTACCGATTAAGCTGGCAGATTGACGGCAAAAATTGAGCAAAGGTTGCCGACATAACCCGACAGTAAATTGGCGGCGGAAACCGAGCAAAGCTTGCTGACATGACTGACAGACTGGCATCAGATTGTCGGCACGAACTGAGCAAGATCTGGCGTGCACAATCTAATGGCATATTGGCAGCAAAAACCAAGCAGAATATGACAAAGTATTACAAAATTCTATTATTTGAAATAGTATAGTTCAGTCGTTTACCGCTATGCGGCGTGTTATTCATATCTATACTCGTATTCAAGTTTTTGTCATGAGTGTATATAAAACCTGCAAAATGTGACTAATAATATTGTAATATATTGTTGCGCTCCCTGATGGTCTCCCTCTCACTCTCACGTTCACTCACGCCCGAAATGAATACGCACTCGTAAGTAAAAGAACTTTAATAACAAGAACACGTAAAGGAGAATATTGTACAATAAGACAACTCGAATTAGTCGCGAATGATAGCCAGCCGTCGGAGGAGACGTCCTCACGGCACGACAGCACAGGACCAAATCTGACATGGCGTCCGGAAAACATCCGACCAACCGTTGTTTATCAACAACCCTCCTGACGACGATCTCCCGGAAACGCCAAAGGGGACAAATTCAGCATGCAAATCCAGGGGCGCAACACTATTTATCTCTATCAGTTCAATTTTTGACACGATGCCTATACAGGATAATTCAAATATTGAACTGATTTTTGGAAAATCGAACAAATAATTGTTCGATTTTTACTTATTCGGGCAATTGCTGTCCAAAAATATCTATAATTTTGTAAATCAAATTATTTAAATTTACCTATATGTTTTAACACATTAATATGTACTATTATATATTAATACTGTAACTGATCTAATTTTTGTCGTCAAAAATTGCCGTAGATCTGCTGGGCATTTGGCGCAAATTTGTTGTCAGTCTGCGGTTGACAAACCTGCTCTCGATTTGTTGCGTCAATCTGTCGTCGCACTACTAGTGACAGATCTGCTCTGGTGTTGTACCCAATTTGACATCAGGATATGATTTCAATTTTTGGTTGCAATTGGGGCGCACTCGAGGACACAGTAGGCCCTGAATTTGGCAGCCTCGTTCCACAGGGAATTGTTTGCCGTTTGTTAACAATCCGCAAGCAAATGGTTAACTGGGTAATACACTACAATTAATACAATTAATACATTACAATTAATACTTACTTCACAAATATGTGAGTATGGAGAAGGTTTCCAATTCTTCTGGCCTTTTTTCAGCACCCATAATATCTTCCGTTCTTTATTGGATGGAAATCGTCTTAGCGAAAAGCCTTTTTCGCTATTGTTATTGTATCCAACGACACAACAACCAGTCATATTTTCTGTGAAGTGATAACATTTAAATCATTAATAGATATAATGATTGATGAGAAGGTTAAAATGTCACTTTTTTACTTCACAGTGCCTGTATATCTACTTTTATTTTTAACTCAATAAGTTTAAATCATATGTATAGACTTACCTTGTTTATAGTAGATAAATCTAAAAACCAAACATCTTATATCAATTTTACACAATAATGTATACAACTATTGCTGTATGTACAATTGGTAACTATCGACGCCATTTTGCTTCAAACCCACAGATTGTCCAGACTCTTACTTCTAGGGACCCTATTATATCTCAGCTATGAGCGCCGCTACTGCGATGCGGTAGAAACGAGAAACGTACGTTTGTCCCGAGACGACCAAGGAGACCAACACGTTTCTTACTCACAAATTTTCTGTTCCGGACTTTGCATCGTAATATCTCCGTTTATGTTATATGTATTAGGTGTACAACTTTGCTTCCGCCGTTTTTTTTCCGAAATTCGAGGCTTTATTGTAAAAAACTGGTTTTATATTTATGATTCAAAGTATTGTCCATCGCTGGCCACTACTTTCTCCCATCTTTCGGGCAGCGTACAAATCCCGCGTTGAAAGAACTGGTCATCTTTTGAAGCGATCCAAGAATCGATCCAATTTCTTACTTCTTCATAAGACCGGAAGTGCTGATCAACCAGGCCGATCAGTGTGCCATTGATCGAAACAAGTGATAGTCAGAGGGAGCAATGTCTGGAGAATACGGCGGGTGGGGTAGGACTTCCCATTTCAACGTTTCCAAGTGTGTCTTGACCACTTTCGCAACATGGGGTCGAGCATTGTCATGCTGCAAAATCACTTTATCGTGTCTCTCGTTGTATTGCGGCCGTTTGTCTTTTAATGCTCGGCTCAAACGCATTAATTGCGTTTGATAACGATCGCCTGTGATTGTTTCAGTCGGTTTTAACAGCTCATAATACACTACGCCGAGCTGGTCCCACCAAATACAGAGCATGACCTTGGAGCCGTGAATATTCGGTTTGGCCGTCGACGTGGAAGCATGGCCGGGATATCCCCATGATTTTCTGCGCTTGGGGTTATCGTAATGAACCCATTTTTCGTCCCCAGTCACAATGCGATGCAGAAATCTTTTCCGTCTTTGCCTTTCAAGCAACTGTTCACAAGCAAACAAATGCCGTTCAACATCTCTCGGTTTCAACTCGTACGGCACCCAATTTCCTTGCTTCTGAATCATTCCCATGTCTTTGAGGCGTTTTGAAATTGCTTGTTGAGTCACTTCCAATGATCGTTCCAATTCTTCTTGACTTTGACTCGAGTCTTTATTAAGTAATGCCTCCAATTCTGCATTTTCGAAAACCTTCTCTCTTCCACCGCTATGCCGGTCTTCGACGTGAAAATCACCGTTCTTGAAGCGTTGAAACCACTCACGACACGTTCTTTTACTAATAGCGGCCTCACCATAAGTATTTGAGAGTATTCGATGAGCCTCAGCCGCAGATTTCTTCATATTGAAGTAGAAAATTAAAACCTCCCGCAAATGACGAGAATTTGGCTCGTAAACTGACATTTTCAATCGAGAATAACTTTATGATGCAGACACAAATCGACTAATGTTTCTATGGGGTTATGTTGACAGATGCCCAAGTTTATTGCATGACGTCTATGATCTATTTATTTCGACCACTACTTACCGCTAAAGCCATCTATAGGAAAACGGCGGAAGCAAAGTTGTACACCTAATAGAACGAAAATAAAGATACTTTTCTTATATAAATCAAACTCAATCTATCGATTAAGTCTAGTGAAAACTCGATCCATTCAGCGATTATTGCAATCTAATAATCTCAAGTACTCTCAACTAATCGACTCGCGTGAAGATACACGGGGTGCCTTGCTGTCGCTATGCGCGATCTTTGGCTTTTGGCTTCGCGTGACTTGGCGCGAGACGCTACCGTGTCTCTTGATATCGTGTTTCACTTCGCGAATGAGATTCAATCGCTTTTTGACAGATAACGGCGAAAATGAAAGCGAGTGTGTATAATGATGCCACGAGCCGAGGCTCTCGAGCGGTTCTTTCCAGTCCGCGTAGGTGTGACAAGAGCCGATGAGGATTTTTACGGCACTGGATATACTATATATAGGACGTAACGGAATTTTGCTTTCGCCGAAAAGTAACGACGAAGATGACGCTTACGGCAGTACGGTGAGATCTGCCTAGATAAATTTCGTTCTTGTTATTTTAATATCTCCCTCTCTCTCTCTCTTTTTCTCTCTCTGTAATCCTCTTGTCAGATAGAGACTACTTTACATATATCTGCGCCTTTTATTAGTTTTTCCGAGGACATACAATTGAGTGCCGGTTCCGAATGGCCAAATTAGAAGAGTTCACTTGGCAAGATACTCTCGGTGATTTAACATTGCCTCCCAAGAAGTGACAATTGAATAGATTCGATGTTTTTAGCTGAATTTGAATCCGGGCCCTTTGGCACAGAAAGCAGACGCACAATTCTCTGTGCCACTATCTATCACAGAGAAAAAGATTTCTTTAGATTTAATATATTTATTTGTTTGACTTATATTTGTTTTGTTACAAAAATATAATTTTATACGAAACATTATTTTGTTGAATAAAAATTTAATAGTTTCATTGCATTATAATATTTGTACAAATAATATTTGTTTCATTACACTAAATATATTGCATTAAATCATATTGTTTGAGGGAAAAATAACTATTATTTGAAATAGTATAGTTTATTCACTTATCACTATGCGACTCGCTATTCATTATTCAAGTTTTTGTCATAAGCGTATATACAGGGTGTCCCATTTTAAACAGTCAAACCGAATATCTCAAAAACTGAGCCCAATAGACAAAAATATTTCAAACAAAAGTTGCATGATTTCGAGGGGGCCATATGATGAAAATATGGACTTGACCTTGAGTGACCTTTTCAAGGTGAGGTCAATGTGATCAATGTTTTCTTAAATGGAATTCTCCATTTTTTATTGCATATTCTTGTAACTTATCTCGAGAGGTTTTCAAAACATTATAATAAAGTATTTTTTCATTAAGTACTTTTTGAGTTATTTTATATCTTAGTCTGACATATTTTGATATAAAAGATAAAATATCTCGTAAAATATTTAGTTTTTGATAATCTTACCGTAATACTTTTATGTACAGAATAATGAGACAAATCAGTTAGTGTAAAAAAAACAAATAATTGTTTTTAAGAAAAAGTATGTAATTATTTACAATGTATTTTTTAAAACAATTATTTGTTATTAAGATCGATCACATTGACCTCATCTTGAAAAGATCACTCAAGGTCAAGTCCATATTTTCATCATGTGGCCCCCTCGAAACCATGCAACTTTTGTCTGAAACATTTTTGTCTATCGGGCTCGGTTTTCGAGATATTCGGTTCGACTGTTTAAAATGGGACATCCTGTATATAAAGCTTGCAAAATGCGGCTAATAACATTTAACAACTATTACTATCAATTTCATTTTTGATACAATCTCAATAAAGAATAATAAAAGAATAAAGATATTTAATTAATTTTTGAAAAATCGGACAGATAAATGTCCGATTTCCACTTATTCGGACAGAAATTGTCCGAGACACGTGTGCAAAAGCGTCGAGTTTATTTTATTATAGCGCCGATATTATCACATTCATGCATATATTATGCAGCGATGTCGTAAAATAATTTTCTGACGGCATTAATAGATAATGGAGAGAAAAAGTGATCGTATAAGGGAATTAGTCTTGTAAGGATGCGCGCATTATTCATTGCCGTGTTTTCGTCGCTATCCGCTCCAACTGCTTCATTATACAAAATTTTCTGGAAAATCTAATAAAACGTAATAAAGTTTACATGAAAATATTTATTAATGTAGCTACTATAATGGGTTTTTTTTTTCTAGAAATTGTTTCGAATCTTCTATTTATTTTTTGTTTAGAAAAAATAATCGGTTCTTTGGAAGACAAAAAAAAACATGGAATCTTTAAACGAACACTCTATATACAATCGACGAATAAATCAATCTCGACGAAGGCGTCGCGTGTTATCGCCAATTTTTATAATACGTGTGTATGGGAGTGCTTATAATCTGTTATCAGACGGTCGCGGACTTATCAACGTAACAGAAATACAGTATATCGATTCAGTTTTAGTACTGTTGGACAACGTGCATATTGCGTTCGTGTTTTTTGCACATTTAATTCGTGCTTTCTTTCTTTTGGTGCGAAATTTCACGTAATTTATCGGTTTATATCGTACGTTCGTTGTTTTTCTGAAATTAGGCCACAGTCTTCGAGCACGTGGAATCCACGACTTCACTTTCCATTCACGATGAGATTGCCGCCGGGTCTCTCTACACAGTGTACGTGAATTACCTTTAAGTAACCCCTTCGAGATGGTTTTCTGTCGCGAGGAAAAACGACTCTCATCTCTCGATCTCGACTCGAGGAATCACCTCTCGTTCGTTGAAAAACTTATTAATTCTCTCCTTCTACTCTCTCTTTTTTATTAACTTTCTTTTTATTTATTCAAAAAAATATTTGATCGATAGACAATCTATGCGCACGTGACTTTTGATATAAAGATTTTAGATACGTTATCAATGAGTTTCATGATATTTCATACCTTGCGATAATATGGATTTGATTGAAAAAAATAAACAAGTAGTATAAAAAACTATTTTACATAGGAAATTTGATATCAATTAATTTGTATAAAATGTAAATTTTGATTATTTTTATATTATATGTTTGATAATTGCATAAAATGTTTCACTTATCTAAGATAATATTATCATTTGATGTCAAAAAAGAAAACTGTTGAGTGAAAATCGTGTCCTGAAATTCTGAAATTGTTTACTTATCAAATACATAAAAATTAACCCATAAATACATTATCCACATACAAGCACGTTTACTTTATCAGTAAATAATACATATATATCATCTTGTGTTACTTGGAAAATATATGTACAAAAGGAGCTTCTCTCTAATTATAGAATGTCAAGATATTAAATACGAAAATGATGAATGTGAAATGTACGTTATTTAGTCAATTACGCAACGAGTGAAAGAAATATTGGCCGTGTTCCGATATTCACTGCCAGTACTGAAAATCTATAGTTTACGTCATATACACTAGATTTTCAGCACTGGCAGTGAATATCGGAACACGGCCATTATTAGCATTGAATTATTTTTAAATGTCCGTAAATTTCACCGCGGAATTTCAAAGAGTAACGTGTGCCAGCGTTACCAAGAAGTCGCGGG